TTTCTTTTTGCTTATGTGGTGCTGAGGAATCGAACCCAGGGCCTCTGGCATGCAAGGCAAGCGCTCTACCACTGAGCCACCTTCCCAGCCCCTGCTGGTAATTTTGGAGATGAAGTTTTAGAACTTTTTTGCCTGGGCTGGCTTTGAACCTCTATCCCCTGATCTCAGTCTCCAGTGTAGGGTTACAGGCATGAGCCACTGATGCCCAGTACTTCCTTTTCTTGCAAGCCTAATAACCCTGAGCTGATCTGCCTGATTGAACGCCTGCCCCGACATCAGCATCACTGATCCTCACTAAACAAGCCATCTCCTCATCCCCTGCCATCCCTGTTCCCCCACACACACTCCAGATTCACCATGTGGGCACATCAGCTCGTACCCCAGGAGCTCCGCCCGCCAGGCCGCCTTTCTCTTCAGCGCTTACTTCTCAGTGTCCCCTGTGTCATCTCAAGTGTGACTGACACCTCAGTGCTTCTACATCTTAACTGTACTCCCTCCCCTACCCCAGCTTCATTGTAGTGCCACTGCTTAGTGGGCATGTCTGGACTAGTCCACGAGAGTGCACACAGCTCCTCCAAAAGTAAATTCTCTGTGTCCACATCACTAATAAGCTCCAAGGCAAGTCAGACATGCAGCTGATTTGACTGTGAACTGGCTCCTCGGCCACTGGTAAACTGTGTTGTCACATAGAGGATTGTGCTGTGCTTGTTCTTTCAGGCTAGCACGGATGACGGCTTTGTTTATAATTTGGATGCCCGTTCAGATAAGCCAGTTTTTACACTTAACGCACACAATGATGAAATCTCTGGTGAGTAAAAAGTGTTTCTTTCATTTCTGTCAATTTATAATGAAATCTGTATTTCAAAGCAATAAGAGTCACTGAACTCATATCTCCTGTAGGTCTCGATCTGAGCAGTCAGATAAAGGGCTGTCTTGTGACCGCTTCAGCAGACAAATATGTGAAGATTTGGGACATCTTAGGAGACAGGCCAAGCCTCGTGCATTCCAGGGACATGAAAATGGTGAGGAGTTGCCTGTTTTTGTTTTCTATATATTCAGTTTCTTGGCACTCTCTGGGAATCAGTGCATTAAAGAATGTATATTACAGATGTGCTGGGGAAGTCCATTTTGTGCCAAGTCAAGTTTGGTGGGAGATTTATGACTTAGGACAGCTTTAAGGAATTCATTGTGTGGATCCTGTCTACCTCCATACTTAACAGTCATTTGGTAAGACCAAGGATGGAGTGAGAACAAGTAGCCACATATTTCACCTTAAAGTCAAGCTTGGACATTAAGACCCTGGAGCCATTGGGTCACTTTACCACTAACTTTTTCTAACTGTCTCTGACTATGCTGAAGTTGATTTTATACACACACACACACACACACAGTAGCAAAATATTAAAATTCCCAGTGACCTTTAGCAAAAAATGCATACTTGGTATATGCTGTCACAGTAGAATGCCATGTTGAGCCATTAAAAATTAAGTGTAAGCTGGGTACCAGTGGCTCATACCTGTAATCCTAGTTACTCAGGAAGCTGAGATCTGAGAATCACAGTTCAAAGCCTTCCCAGGCAGGAAAGTCCCTGTAAGACTCACCTCCGATTAATATCCAGAAAACCGGAAGTGGTCTGTGGCTCAAAGTGGTAGAGTGCTAGCCTTGAGCAAAAGAGCTCAGGGACAACACCCAGGCCCTGAGTTCAAGCTGCACAACTTGACAAAAAAAATAAAAATTAAGTGTAGCTTTACTAAACTTACAGGAAAGACAGGTTAAGGAAGCAGTTTTCACAGTATCATCCCATGCTTAAGTCTTACTTCAGTCTAGCAAACTGTTTCTAAAAAATGAACAGTGGTTATCCAGCTGCAGACTTATTGCAGTGTTTCCTGTTGATATTTTCCATAGTACATGTTTTATCTAACAAGTTTTATATAGTAGTGAAATATGGAAATATTAAAAGTTTAAAAAATAGCTTAAGGGGGTTGAGGATTTAGACCACTTACCTGGCAAGTGCAAAGCCCTGAGTTCAGTCCTCAGCTCTGCAAAAAAAAACAAAAATAATAAGGGCTGAGGATGTAGCTCAGCAGTAGAGCATCTGCCCAGCAACCCCTGGCTTTAAACCGCAACAACCCAGGAAAGGGGGCGGGTGGAGATTTCATAGTATCACTGCCATTGTTTAGAAGGTGAGCTGCAGGTTCCTGGTATCCATAGAGATGAGGCGGGCGAGGACGCCGTAGGAGGACAGCGAAGGCAGAAGGTCAGAGGGCGCACATCCTCACGGCACAGCTTTCGTGCCACACATGCCACTCCTGGCCTTGACTTCCAGCTGTCTCTGCGGTGGTGAGCTGGCTTTGAGAACTCAGACCCCAGCGTCTTAGACATAGGACAGGTGCTCAGAAGAGGATTCAGTAACTCACTTTCTGTCCTTTTCTCCTCAGGGAGTTCTCTTCTGTTCGTCTTGTTGCCCCGATCTGCCATTTATTTATGCTTTCGGAGGTCAGAAAGAGGGGCTTCGGGTCTGGGACATCAGCACTGTATCCTCAGGTAAGAATCTTGAGTGTCCTCCTCTCTCAAAGGGCCCTGAAAGTACCAACCCAGAGTGCCTGGCTTGCATGTGTTCAGATGGCTGTAGTACAGTCCCTTTACTTCACAAATGTTGGGGTTCATGAATAAGATTGGGTTGATACCTTATGTTTAAGTTTACATATTTTTTTTTTT